GCGGCTTTTGCGCAGCGGCTGTATTCTGAATGAGGCTAATATGCAGAGTTTTACCTCTGGATAATCTTTGACGCTTGCCTTCAGTAGCACATGCCGCTACCTCATGAGCTTGGTCAACAAAGGGGGCTACATGCCCAGGTAAGCCGTTTCTGGATGATTTCCGCCAGCTGGCGCAGGACCGACGCATGAGTTCCCAGACTGTGCTTTGGAGATCGAGAGCTTAGTCTGTCCGTGGCAAAAAGGCAGTCCTGCCTCCTCATCTGGGCGCCGATGTTGCCGCAACAACGTGGGCCTTGGAGTGCTCCCCTTGTGTGGGTTCCTGACGGATGCCGGCAGAGAATCCGAAAACACTGAGCGCGATCCTAGGTTCAAGGCACGCAACACAAACACACTCAAGAAGGAGGCCAGAACCCCGGCATCAGCAAACTCGAAGTCATTTCGGGTGCTTGCATGGATATTCATCGGATACGATTTGCGTGAGGCCGTCTTGGAAGTACTGGACGCCATCATTCCAAAGGGCCACCACAAGGTTGAGATCTCATCAGCAACAGGTGTCTTGAGCACGACGTGATGAGCACAGACAAAGGTAAACCTCAACGACCCCGCTAAGTGCATTCTTGTGGAGGTCTGACCGTCTGAGTAACTGCACGCTGAAGCCAGAATCCCTTCCCGATGCTGCATCGAGCAGCGGCGTTGCAGGTGCAACCTTCATGGTGTGGCTTGAGTGTCGTGGAAAACTGGGCAAGATTGTCGCATCTGCCAAGTTTTTCAAGTCTGGTTCCTCGTAGAGTCCGATGCAGCCGCCGAAGCTGCTACGATGTGCCAGGAAAAAGTACAACCTCCATGCCTTGACCACGCCAGAGGACGAGCGAAGACGTGCGCCCCACTTGCCTTGCAACAAGCAGAGACCGTCAGGACAATAAGACGAAAGTCAGCAATGCCGTCCGCACCTTATCAAGGCCGACACTTCACCTGTTTCGCCTGTGCAACTTGTTGCAAGGTGTTCGAGGAAGTCAAGAAACCCGAAGAGCCGAATGCAAAAGCAGAAGCCAGACCTGAATAAAGGAAAAAAGATCGATGACCACAGAGCGCTTGCTTGAATTCTCCCTTTCTGGAACTGCTCCGAAGCTCGGATTTGTGGTTGCAGCTTTGACCTCAGACCACCTATGCCCTCGCTTCCAAAGCCCTGAATCATGCTTCGGAGCGCCTTGCTCGCAGCTCTCCCTGCGTGCCCTGCCGTGGATGTTGCCACCACTGCCGCCAGCTGGACTCTGTCTTCTTTATACGATGCCGGCCTTGTCGTGCCTCGAGTACTGCAACAAGATGGTGCTGTCTTCATCCACGAGTGCTGCTAGCACAGCCCTGGTTTGCAAGTTCGAAACGGACAAACTCTGTGCCTGGCTCCTGACGGGCCTTGGGGAATGGGTCGGGAGCAATACCCAGCACCGACAAGCGCAGCCAGTCCGACTACCCAGCCCAGGCAGTGTGGCTATCCGATCGTCGACGTCCACTTCACCAATGTGATCAAGCAGTTTCTCAGGGCAGTTGGAGGCCAATTCTGGCTCTAACATCACTTCGAAAGACCCGACGGTGGCTCGCGAGGCCGGGATGACCTTCGCACAGCTTCATCCGACCGCTTAGGAGCGATCCTTGGAGAAGAACTTGGTGCATGATGTGGGTGAAGCGAACTCAGTCCCAGAGCCGGATGAGGCCTCCAGCAAATTTCTGAGTGCAAGAGGCATTCTGCTCATGCTTGATGTTGCAGTTGCTACACGAATATGAAGTTTGCACTGCCGCGCATGTGTGGCGGCAGCGGCAAGACCAGAATCGGATTTACAAGACTTAAGACCTGACCAGGAAGGAAATGACAGCGATGGCACTGCACGCTCCGGTCATCTGGCCCGCAACCTGGAGTTCATGATCATCAAGGTGGATGTGGGGGGTTGGGCGCTCATGGCACAAATGGAGACAGTGATGCAATTGCAGTAAGCCGAGCTCACCGTCGCACATGCCGAAATCGAGGGTTTGAAGTCTCACGTCGGTTGCTTGGCGGTTCTTTCGTTGTTTGTTGTTGCACCCTGTCCACAGGTGAAGGCAACCTGGTATTGAAGCCAGCGCTTGGACATCCAACACGCCGACGTGGCGCTGAAGAACACTCGGGATCCCCATACAACAGACGACGTCCTGAAAACCGTCCGTCGATAAAAATCTTTCTGACTTTTTTAAAATTTTATATTTTGATCCGTGCTGAGGATCTTAAGAGAAATAATGCACCTCGAGAAGAGGATCGTTAGCTTTATGAATTAATTATATTCTGCTTTTAATACGACTAGCAAATCTAGTACAGCTAAAAATCTGAGAAAGATAATTCTGGATTTTGCACGAATTTTTGCCGATAAAATCGCGAGCAGCTTGAAATACCAATATCCGTTTATGATGAAGCTATCTAAATAAGCAGTGGGCAGGCACTAATTGATTAACACGAAGATTTTGAAAATTAACGATCGGTGTGTATTTCTATTCTATTGATAAGCGTCTTATAATGGTTGAGTATCGGTCGTATGATATAGATTTTCTCTGTTATTGTACTAAGGGTATGATTATAAGACCGTCTTAGTAAATTATATCTTTTAATAATAGAAGTAATATACGATTAATAGGTAGGACCAAAATTAGATATTTGTACATTTATTGTAAGATTCATCGGATTTCTGCAAGTATTCGTAAGAAAACTCTGGTCTATTGTATATATAAGATCGAATTTAATAATTTTTTCTAGAATACGGACGTTAGGTTATTGGTGTAGATATGAATATGGAGGTAAGAGCCCGTTATATATTTTATTGGATGTTAATTTGTGTTGAAATAGAAATACGATATTTAGGAGAATATATATTTATCGTAATTGGAGGTCGTAAAATTTATCGTTTTTCTGAATTCTATTTCCACGGGATTATAGAAGAACATTTTCTTTATTAAAGATTCTTTAAAAAGATATAGAAGAATATTTTTAGAAATTTGGAATGTTGTTCGAGGGCCCTATAGCATTAATTTAATACATTTTATAGAACCAGCTTTTTATATTTTATCTAAATAGACCCAATATACGGCACTTCGATAAAGAAGATAAAAATATCGATTTCTTATATATATTTATCTAATGGCTATACGCGTAATATAAAGCAGCCCTTATTAATTAGATGAAAATAAAAATTGGAAGAAAAAAATATCCGGGGCAGAACTATATGCTCGTGTTGAACGGAGAGCCACATGGCTAGTGGTTGTTACCATAAGAGAACGTAGGTAAGCTAAATAACGGCACGACCTTGGGAAGAAATAGATAGAATATTAGTCATTCATATCTAGAATAAAATGAGTCGCTTATTTATAGACTCGCTTTATTTTCTTATTAAAGGATAATCTCTCTAAGAGAAATTCTTGACTTATCCTAAATAATTATAACACGAAATATTTTAAGCGCTCTCAATATAGACAACAAATTCGTCTATTTATCTAGATTCGGACATCAACTCGAAGTGCGGCCGAGAATTCCGAAGCGCGATCGTCTCAATCTTTTAGAATCTTATATAGATCAACTTAATTAGAATACAATCATGCTATATTCTATCCATAATCATATCTCATAAATATAATCAAATAAGTCGGCCCATTTTATCGATGATAATCCATAATATCGGTATTCGGCTATTTAGTTTAAAAAGCAAGTAATATTAGTCTTTCATTAAAATCAACTATGGAGTCCAATATAATCGAAGATATAGAGTCTAGAAAAAACCTTCAACCCTAATCTCCTAAAATCTAAACCCTCAACCACACAAAACCTTACAATTCCATTTATCGAAAATTCACCCATACCCTCCGATATAACTACCGATAATTTATTTTATTTATAATATGAAAAAATTATCATTTAGAACCAAATACAATATATTTAAAATTACTTTTCAAAATAATTCCAATTTTAAATAAGAGTCGAAAATCTATTCGCCTCTTAACAACAATCAATTAAAAAGAAATAACATCAATAAACAAATTCTCAAACTAAATTCTAATATAAGAATCTAACCAACTATATAACATAATTCCATGAAACCTATTCATTCTATATTAGAACGCAAATATAATATTCTAAAGAGAAATTAAAAAATTACCTCATAAAGAAGAAACAAATACGAGACAACGTCCCAATCAAAAATAAATAATCAAAAAAAATCTAAACTCGTAATCAATTATCCGAATCCATTCATCATATATTCAAGTATCTACCACTAACCTAATTCAACTTATAAAGTTTCGTCCAACTAATAAATTCATCAAAAAATCCCATCCTCCCAATATATTTTTTCGTATCGTTCTCTTTACCTCACGAGAGAATTTCACTCTACGTACCATGAATCCAAATGTCAGAGATTTTCATACCTCAACCCGAGAACCACATTATCTTACAAGATCAGAATATTCTCCCAATCAATATAGTTCGAAAATTATACCGACGAATATTTTACCGTCATCAAAGTCACGATCCATAAAATAGGTTCCAAAATTCAAACCTCCATCAAGATTTTCAGATTCAATCAGCCTTCATCCCAAATTCCATTAAAGATACATAGATATTTCAATGAATATCAAAATTAAACCTATAATCAAAAAATCGTAAAAATCATTCCAAACAATATCAAAAAATCAATAAAGAAAAATCTATCATTTAAATTATTCTCGCCGCCGCATCTTTATACTTGTCCAACGCAATTCTTTGGTTACTATACCAAACCCATCTATCAGAACGAAAAACTCATCCGACCTAACAAATTAACGAATTTACGGTCCAATAAAAAAATCATTCATTAACTTACCACCGAAGGCAGAAGCAGGTTTCCAATTTCGTCACAGCAAGACAACGGACATTGTCTCACGCGTGAAACATGTAGCCATGCGACAGTTCTGAGAGTGCTATTGAACATGCTTCCTTTTTTCAGAAATCAAAGTTCACCACGATGGTGCACTCGGGGCGACACCTGTGACCAAAGAACTGCCGACAGAAAAGATCACAAATGAGGACAAGCCGAATAGCCAAGTCTCCGACGTTCGTCATGTCGAACATGCACACAGCAATTTCGACATACCTGGAGGTGCCGGTCGAAAGATGCAAAGCAACACGGATCTGCCACAGATTTGTTTTGGAAGCCTCGATGATGGGCAGTTCTCGAAAAGGCTGGCGACGGCGGACTCTCGTAAGTTCACGCAGAAGCTGAGAAGGATCTGAGTGAAACCAATCGTGCACCACTGCACGTGACGCAGGGTGGATGTATGACACACTGTATGTCGACGACATTCCTCCTGCTGATGTCGAAAACATGACTGAAACCTGAGCTAAGAGCGGCGCAGTTTCTAGCTCAGGATGTGCTAGCTTGGGCTCCACCACGCGACAGCCTTGGCACGCGTGTCCGTCTTCTTTTCTATGTGTGTAGAGAGCATCATAATTAGTGTATCTGCTGAGTAGTGTTGAGTCTTGTGTCCTGGTTGCTTGTCAATCCAATCTGTGGGCGTGACCTGCTTGACTTCAGGCATGCGCTTGTCGCTTGAAGTCTTGCAGCAATATTGGGTTAAGTGCCAATTGCATGCTTGAGCTTGCAGCCAAAGCCACCAACAGAAGCACAAGCAGCATGGTGCCCACTAGCAAACTCGTCCTGCGCATGAAGGGAGAACGCAGAATGTGGCAATTGGGCTGTCCGGCTTAGAGTCCTCATTGTAAGCGCAGAACCTTGCTTGAATTCAACAAGGCCCATCCATGTACACTAAAATCTCTGGCTGAGGAAGGGAGCCTTCTTCGCGACGATTCTGGCTTTCCGACACCCTGGCAGAATGTCTGACTTTCAAGGGACAACGCACTCTGAAAGTATATACATGAACATCTGATGATTCGGCGTTCTGTGCTTAATCTGATATTCAATAGTTATGCACATGAGACGAACCATACCAGGTCTATACTGTACATAATTGTATATGCACTGACAAGCCAGCGTACGTGTGCAAAACGGTGTATTGTGTATGCATGCATGTAGGTACGGTCTCGGATCGAGTCTGAGCGTTGCTCAGATATTGCCGGCGACCCCAGTACCGAGGCCCGTAAGCTCCGTGCTGCCATTCCGCGAATGGGCCGAAGGAGCAATCAAGGCCGGACTAAACGGGGCGCACAGTCTCGGAGTCGTCTGGGTGGCAGCATGGATCGGGCAAGGCAGGCCGAGGACAGATGTCAGCGGCAACTAGAGTCGGATCCGCAACTCAAGGATTTGGTGAAACGAGCGAGACCGAAAAACTCCTAGAGAAGGACTCCCGCATGCCCGTCGCACAACGGTGTATGTGTATTGCAGATGTTCCTGCGCTCATTAAGGCTGAGGAGGTGCTTAGGCTTTGACTCAGACAAGACTCCTGGCCCAGCGCCACAGACAACAGCGCAAGGCGGGGCAAATCTGTTCTCAAGCTACAACAACCCATTCAAGGGAGGGGTGATTCTGCAAGAGGCTTGGAAACGTTCGGGCTGTATGGAGTGTACTGGTCGTTGTTCGTGTCGAAACTGGTGGGAACAAAGCTTCCATAAGCTTCTCCGCTTGCGTGCAGCACGCTGCGCCGAGGGCGCATTGCATACCTGTCATTTAGGAGCCCGACAGAACACACCAGTCACCTTTGAAGAAGCCGAGCCCTTAAGCATATTACCGTGCGATCTGTGAACTGTCTGCAGGGCACGCTTCGAAAGCGACCAGGCCGTCATTCTTCTTTTCTGTTCTTCAGCATTTCGGAGGAAGTTCCTCAAGGGGATGATGGCGGAAGCTGGTATGCTCAGCTCTCTGCGACACCTGGCCAAGGATGTTCTCTACAAGCCGTGGTTGCTTACGAGACATGGCTCCGATGGAAAGCCAATGTGGTACTCGAGCAGGGTCAAGACCCGGAGAGTCATTGGCGTACCTTCTATTCGCCTTCTGTCCAGAGGGGGATCTTGATGCAGATCGCGGAGATTGCTACAGCCGAGGGAGGGTCTCCTTACACCAAGAACACCGGGGAAGAGCCTTCTCTATACCAACGAGACGATACCCTTGGCGGTGAAGGCAGCGTTCATCCGAAATCGATCATGTCAACCCTTTTCAGCCCTGCTTTGGGTTCCATCAGGCAAAGCGTGGGACTTGCTCTCAGGAGGCTTTACCTGGCTCCTGCGGAACCTTCTTTTGAAGCAGTTTCGGAATGACATGTCGTACAAGATTGCAGCCCCAGCAGTCCACTTCACCAATACTTCCATCTCCGAGGTTTTGGCCCGAAAGCCAAACTAAGCTTGCTTAGTTCTATGGTCAGGGCAGCGCCCAAGCCGCTCTGGGCAGCCTTGTAGGAGGAGCAACTGTGGCTGGGAGACATCAGGATGAACCTGGCTGAGCCAGAGAGGGGACAGACGACCGTCTCCAGCGAGAATGGCTCCACCTTTTCCTAGATTGAAACGCATGGGTCAAGCGCCGAGTTGATGCCAGGGCAAGAAGGATTTCCAGGTTTTCTGCCAGGACCAGCGCGTGCATCTCAGGAAGGCCGGTGAGGCTGCCCCTCGTCCGGACTGCAGGCGCTGAGGATGGGACTACACCCTATCATTGCCTTTGCAGCAAGAAAATGCCATGCTGCCCTGGACCCGGAGTTTGGGATGATGTGATGATGCGAGACCTCTGCTACGAGCTCCTGGAAACAGACCTCCCGGAGAAGTTGGAGGCGCTGATCTCCATCATCTGCAAGGTTCTGGCGGCCTTCCCGCCACTTCAACGAGGTGATCGAGACCGTCAACTACACAGAGACGGAAATCGCAGAGGTCCATGAGAATGGCCTCAACGACTACACCTACTACAGGCGACCCACGCCTTCGCTGACTGGACGGGGAACACAGTGGCGAGTGAGCGGATCGCCAAAGTAGAAACTTTACGAAATCAAGTGGCCCTACCTCACAGAAGGACTCCGTCCCCTGCACGGGACCCCCGAAGTCGCCCTGTATATCCTGGAAGACGACTGGGAAGTTGCTTGTAGTGCGGTGATCGAGATAGCAATCGTGCAGGAAGGATACGGAATGTTGGTGCCACGGATACTGCGGAAGGCCAGGCAGAAAGCCTTAAAGGGCATGCAGTGAGGATCCCCGCAGGATTTCTGCTGGCACCATTTGTCCCTGCCTGGGACTGACTCTGCATCCTAATCCGCCGAGGCCACCGGCCCAGGCGTCTTGGGGGTTACCTCAAGTACCCTCCACCAAATCTCTTACCTGCGATGCAATAATTTGGAACCACCCGCTTTTGGCGTCCATTTTCCACCCCCCCGCCCGGCTTCGCCTAATTTTACCTCAGTTGTCGGCCTTTTTCTTCTGGACCCCCTCACTTTTTGCTGTCGTGTTTTGGGTTTTCAGGACAGCCCCCCCTTACCCCTCCTACCCCCCCCCCTTCCCTGCCCCCGTGGCCTCCCTCCCCTCAAATAACAGGCAGGTAACATTTGAAGAGGGCCTTGCACCAACGCTGCCGACGTGTCTCCCGTGCCCCCTGCCCCTCAGCAGCCGAGCGAGGCGGGCGGCGTAGCATTAAAATTAAGCTGAGAACTACCTCTCTTAGCACGCAAAGGCACAGGTATGTGTGTGTGTATACATATATATATATATACACATATATATATATATACATATATACATACATGTAAATTTTGATGCCCATCTATGAATCTTTAACTTTAACTATCTACCCATCCAGATCTGTACTTAGATAGACAGACCGACAGCCAAGTGACACACGGTCATATACATAGATGAATAGATAGATAGATAGATAGATAGATAGATAGACCGACAGACAGATAAATAGACGCACGGTCAGGTACATAGAGGATAGGTAGATAGATAGATAGATCGACAGACAGATAAATATACACACGGTCAGATACATAGGTGGATAGATACCTGTAGATAGATGGATGGATAGATAAATACATAGACAGGTAGATAGACAGGTAGATAGATAGCTAGCTAGGTACATAGATAGACAGACCAACCGATAGACACACAAACAGGTAGACAGACGGATAAACCGATAGATGGACAAACGGATAGATCGCTTGATAAACAGATGGATTGGAATTCGTTTAGACCTGTCCCATCCCTGCACTTAGCAAACTCTGTCATCTGCATCCACCATATGTGCCTCCAGACTTGCAGCGGCGATTCGGCTACAGGATACGGCCGCCTGCTGCCAACCAATATCCTCAGCTAGCTGACTAGATTCTCTTGAGGTGTCACGGTCTGAAACCCAAAACAGTAGCCCTAGACCTAGCAAGCCTCGTTTCCCACTAATCGATGTCGCTTTGCAAACTGCGTCCCCGACTCTGAGAAGCCACAAACTGCACGCCTTCTCCAGTTATAGAGACCTCGTCGCGTGACCAAACACATCCGACAGCCCAATGCCAAGCACAGTGCTCCTAAGGCCAAAGGCCGATGTATCGCGGCTCCAGGTCTGCCTTCCAAGGCAGGAGAGGAAGCTGAGCTAAGCCGACAGTTGCTACGATTTTTGCAGTTTTTGGGATTGCAACGGCTGCCTGAAAATTAATGTCTCTGAGGACACACGCCCCATCGATGAAGAGCTCCAGAAGACCCCGTTCCCTGAGACAGTATCAACAGTATGTCAATGCGCACAGTTCATGCGCCCTGGTTCCAGACTTTAGGTGCGAGCCAATCAAGGTGCACTGCAACCTCATATGGAACGCCGGCACGGATTTGGTCCTGCAAAGCATTTTCAAGCTGCCGTTGTGCTGAGGACTATGAGCCTGCCTTCTCAAGCTGCAAAACGTGCAGGTCACCAGTCACTGGCTGCGTCTGCAAAGCAAAGCAGCGCTTGCCCTGGCGGAAGAAGGGAAAGTTCTATGTTGGATAACCGCATCGGCATTGGATTATAGCTCAACGCATGCGCGATTGACGGTTTGCATGTCATCCCCCCTGTAATTGAAGATGAAGACCAAGGGCTGAAGGCCCCATGTTCTTCTGTCAGCTGACCTTCCGAGTGTTTAGTCGAGGAGAAGTCCCGACAAGCAAGTTTTCTGAGCAAACGGCAGTGCGAAGAATCCGCAGGAAAACTCTAAGGTCTGCAAGCACAGGCGGAATGATACCTGCCAACATGAGAGTGAACTCGTCAGGCTCGTCTTATCCACATACTCGAAACTTCACAGCGGTTGAGAACGCCGCACCCATTTGGGCTTGGGTCGTGGACTTGAGAAGTTGCAGTACAAGCCCTGGAACCTGGAGGCCAGACCAGCCGAACAGCCGAACCATGTCTTGGCTATGGCTACGGCGCTCTGCGTGAGCTTGGGACCCGACCCCAACCAGTCGGTGCCTTGCTCCAGAAAAATCCTGGAAGAGTCGAACCAAAGCTGCAAAAAGTCTGAGCACTTTGAAAAAAGCTGTGGGGCTTGCCAAGCGCCACCATCCCCAGCCACGCAGCCTCGCACTGGATTCGACTCGCTGAACTGCTGCATGAAGCTTCAAAAAAGGAGCCTTCTTTCGCGACGTTGTAAGGCTTCCTGCAGCAATGTGCCCAAAACAGCGAAGAAAAGAGCAAGTCTAAAGGCAAGCATCCAACAGCAGGCCGAAGCACCAGGCTGAGGGCCAGGCGAAGTGTTGGGCCCGGAGTTCCACTGTCGCGTGTCCCGCATCCAATCACTAAACATCGCCGCCTGGAGAAAAGCTCAATGTATATATTTCGTAAACAAGCGTCATGCGCATATCCACTTTATCCAACTTTCTGCTTCTACCCATTGTAAGCAAGATGGTGTCAGCAAATATGACATGAGCCTCGCTGGCAGACGCTGTTTGGAGCTGCAGCCTTGGTCAACTCAGGAGTGTAAAGTGTTTAGCTCAGCTTGAAAGTCATGACGACCTTCGAGACCTAAGGCCACCGCCCTGGTCGACATCGAACTGCCAGCAAACGAGGGAGTACCTCTCAACAGCTTTCACCGTGGGAAACTGTTGAAACTCTGCACTAACTGCTTTTCGAACAGTCACATGGCATGCTCCCCAGCCTCCTTGGCGAAAGCCTCACAATGCAAGGTCTGCTGTAGGGTCCAGAAACACAGGCATGCCGAGAAGTCCCTCCGTCCCGCCTGCATGTTTCTGCAAGCAGAAGTCGCCCACGCAATCTGCCAACGTACGCTGCTTGTCAGGCACTTTCTATGGTTTTATGACGGCCAGGCAGCCACTTCTGCAAAACCAGATCTGTCAACTGCAGCTGTCATGGAGCCTCTAGTGCCGGCAGCATTTCACAAACTCGTTCCAGCAAGCCGTGCTCGATCAAGCTGTCGAGCCCCCTGAAAAGCTGCTGCTGAGATTCAAGACACTCAAGCGCACGAACCCAGCAAAGCATGACGGTCTCGGCCTTATGCTCACAAGCTCCAGCGCCTGAATGGATGAGAGGTGCAGAACCAACCGCCCAGCAGGTACCAAGTAACAGAGCTGAGGGCATGACCAATGGACGCACATCCGGTGCTCCAGCGGATTGCCCTCCATGACGCCGGCGCCTTGGGTTCCGTGACGTTGTGGAATTATGCTCCAGCAATTCTCTGCAGGTACTGCATATGATGTGACACATTTCTGAGCCTGGGACATGTCACCACAGGCAGCGGGTAGGGACTTGTTCCATGGTTGCCATGAGAGGCTTGGAACGGGACTTGAACAAAACAATTCTGAGAGTTGAGGCGTTCCATTGCTGTGTTCCGACGGCCTGGTCGCATGCGAAGCAAGCATCCTTCACGGAGTGCAGGCTGGGGTGTGAAAAATGCGAACTGGCTGCATTGTTGCGGCTGACAAGCTCGGGAGCCGAAGCTTCACACATCAGATCAAGCGCGTGGCGAGTCCGAAACAGTGTGCAAAGCTCGTGCAATCTTGTCGCATGCAGGAAAAGGTTTTTCTGAGCCCCGCGATGGAAAGCACTAGTTGTACAGGTGGCAGCAGAAAGAGGCTTGATGCTGCGCGTGCTGGCGGCGCATCCCTTGTGCTTGATCGCAGTCGCGTTCTCCGTCCGCCAGATGTGTGACATTGTGTGATGCTTCCCTGGACCTGCGAGACGTTGCCGTTGAAGTGCTCAGAGGTCGAGCTCGGGCAGTGCTGCTCCTGCACCGTGGGCCGGCGCCCGGGGAGCAGCATGCCCCGTGGCTTCTTTCCTTCACGTGCCCGATGGCTCTCTCCGAGAACGCACCTGCTCGGTGCGTGGTATGCAACGAGGTTGATCTTCGCCGGCAAGAGCACTGCCAGAGGTGCCGCGTCTTCCTTCACTCAGTCTTCGGCACCTTGCCAGGTGCACGTGGCCAGGCCAAGGCGCTGTCAAAAACCCTAAACCCTAAACCCTAAATGTTGTCAGGACACAAAACAAACGAGTGCAAGCTCCCAGGTGCAGCCTCGCAGGTGCCCACGACAGAGGCTTCTCCTTTCCCGAAGTGTAGGTTGTCCTGGCTCTTGCTGTCGGGAGCTTTCTGGCATCCTAACTGCATCCAACTGCACAAGAATGTCTCAAAACGAGGCCGGAATGACATCGAAGAAGCCGCCTGGTGCCTTGACTGCCATCGTTTTCACGTTTCACTGGTCCTGCCGCTTCCGTGAACTGAGTTCTGCTCCACGCAGTGGGTGTGAGCATCCAGGTGGTGGATGGCCTGGGAGAGAGGAGACGTTTGCGAAGCGTCGGCTGCAATGAACCCGAGACAGGGACTAGTATCAGCGATTGATTGCAGAAGGCCTGAACATGTGCAACCAGGGGCAGCAGGGAGCCATGTACGTCAGGAAATCAAAGGGCAAGCTCCGACGCACACATGTGATGAATGCCAGCAAAGTGCCCTTATCGTATATGGAGTGTCAACAGCTGAAGTGGCGTATTTTGGCATCGCCAAGCTACTCAAAAGCCGCTAGAATCCTCCAGGCCCCAGGCCTTCAACTTCCTTTGAACCAAGACTTTGGACTGCGCGTCCAGGGGTCCCAGCGCCTCCCGAATCTCTAGGGTGCTCTCTGGTGCTGTGCAAAGCTGAAAGGCCCTGCCCCCTGCCTCATCGATAAGTAGGATTTGGGGGCATTGTTTCTGAAGAAAGATCTGTCTGACAAGTTCCGCCTGTGGTATCAGGAGCTTGTACTCCACCCTACACCAAGGCACGTAGCACGCCAAGCCTTGGACCGCTGACCACCAGATAGTTTTCCGTACCAGTCATCCTTGACAGCCTTTCCATTTATGCGACAGCTTTGTCCTGCAATGCAAACATGCTTGGCGCTGCACTCGAAGATCAATCGGGATGTCAGCCGCAGATGCCTGGCCGAGCAAGGCAGATTCGGACAGGACCAGCCAGCCGCCGACTGAGATTTCGACTGAAGGACGAAAGTCTAGCTCCGCGAGAAAATGCTGAACCTGTCGGTGGTCTGCTTGGTACATCCTGGTGCCGACTTTGCAACCGGCACGTCTGAGGGCAGTGCTTGTGATTCAAGGCTTTCTAAATCCTTGCAATTCCAACCGGCCCGACAGCAACATGTTCCACCGGTCACTGCATGTACCCAAGGCTTGCCTCCGCTCTCATTGCCTTGAGCGAATGATGCCTCAAGCAACGAAGTATTGTCTCAGCCGCTGCCCTCCCTGCCTTTCCTTCCTCCTGAACAATTATATGCATCTGCTCAGTCGAGCTCCCGAACATCCAGGCCATGGGCTCAGTGAACAAAGGACCTTACCGACAGGCCAGGTACCGGGGGTGCATTGTGTGTTACAGACTATGACTATGACTAGGACTCGAACAGTACAGCTTTTGCGGTATCTCTGCAATTTCGTCCTCCGGATGGAGGCTGTCTGCGACGAAATTGAACTCAGCAAAGATGCATCTGTGCAGCAGTCCGATGGCAGGGTCACCCCAGCCAGAAAGGAGTCCTCCTTGGCAGCTTTGGCAGCTGCTAGGCTCTCAGGTTGGCTGTCATGCCAGCACACTGGAGCTCTTAGGTCGGTTCTCTTATCTTCTAGTTTACTTCGGAGAGCAGTTCGGAATGGCACAGTTTCGTCATCTTGTTTCATGGCCGTTTCCGGAGGGCCCTACGACCTGCTGAATGACGATGCACCAACCGATGCTGAGAACAAGGGAATCCTCGAACTCTTCACCAATGCGATTGAAAGGAAAACCTACGCAAGCTGGAACTCGCGACAATGGCTTTCCACAAGCACAGCGCATCGCAGTACGATCCATCAAGGCGCCAGGCTCCCTTTGAGAGGCCTTCAACTCATTAACTCAACTTGAAGGTGGGATTTGCACATACCAGAGCCCACTGCAACGCCAGAATACCCCACTACAAGAACTTGTTTTAACAGACTCAACAGTGACTCAGCCATCTCCAGCTCCATACGGAGCGGGTAGATCGGGTAGATCGGTGCATGCCATTGCAAGATCGCATGCTGTGCCGGGTGTCTTTGTCCCAGGCGCCTTTGAGAGAGCTTGGCTGGTGCCTGGGGCAAAGACGTTTTGTATTTGCAAATCCCACCTTCAAGTTGAATTAATTAGTTGAAGGCCCCTTTGAGAGGCCTTCAACGAATCAATTCAACTTGAAGGTGGGATTTGCACATACCAAACATTACAAAACCCCATTGCAACGCCAGAATACCCCGATACAAGAACTTGTCTTTACAGACTCAACAGTGACTCAGCCACCTCCAGCTCCATACGGAACGGGTAGATCGGGTAGATCTGTGCATGCCATTGCAAGATCGCATGCTATGCCGGGTGTCTTTGCCCCAGGCGCCTTTGAGAGAGCTTGGCTGGCGCCTGGGGCAAAGACGTTTTGTATTTGCAAATCCCACCTTCAAGTTGAATTAATTAGTTGAAGGCCCCTTTGGGAGGCCTTCAACTCATAAACTCAACTTGAAGGTGGGATTTGCGCATACCAGAGCCCACTGCAACGCCAGAATACCCCACTACAAGAACTTGTCTTTACAGACTCAACAGTGACTCAGCCATCTCCAGCTCCATACGGAGCGGGTAGATCGGGTAGATCGGTGCATGCCATTGCAAGATCGCATGCTATGCCGGGTGTCTTTGCCCCAGGCGCCTTTGAGAGAGCTTGGCTGGCGCCTGGGGCAAAGACGTTTTGTATTTGCAAATCCCACCTTCAAGTTGAATTAATTAGTTGAGCCCCTTTGAGAGGCCTTCAACGAATCAATTCAACTTGAAGGTGGGATTTGCACATACCAAACATTACAAAACCCCATTGCAACGCCAGAATACCCCAATACAAGAACTTGTCCTTACAGACTCAACAGTCACTCAGCCACCTCCAGCTCCACACGGGGTGGGTAGATCGGGTAGGTCTGTGCATGTCATTGCAAGATCGCATGCTATGCCGGGGTGTCTTTGCCCCAGGTGCTGGAGAATTTTTCAACGTCGGCCTCAAAGGCCTTGTGACGCCGATGTTCATGCAGAAAATTTGATCGCTGAAGTTCTGCGAACTGTTCCAGCTCGAATGTCATGCTTTGTTGGTGCTGTAACTTCCGGCGAAGTTCGTCTGCAGCTTCTTGCTCCTCCGAGAGCATAAACCGAGCCACCTCCAGCTCCGTACGGAGTTTCTGGACTGGGCTCGGCTCCTCCCGAACACTGAGCTGCATTGCGGCATGTTCCATGAGTGCTCCCAACAGCTCCGTCTCGCACTGTCGCGCGGTGCATGCCTGAAGGCTCATCTTTTCCGCCCTCTCATTGTTCTCTTGCACCTGGCGATGCAGCTCCTTTGTCTTCTGCTGCAGCGCAGCATGGGCCTTTTCCAGTTCCGCGCTCAATTCCTCCAGCTCAGCTCTTTGCCAGTCGAGTTGTTCTTTCATCTCCTGCTGGTGCTTTGCGCTCCGGCGCTTCTCATCCTTCAGTTGGGCCTTCAGCTCCTCACACACTCTTTGGGAGTGGTTCAGCATGTGTCTTGTCTCCTCCAAAGAACTCTGCAGCTGATTGATCTGCTCTTCCAGCACACTCTGCTTTCTTTCCATGTAGAGTACAAGCCAGCAGTTTCAGACACGCGCGGCTCGGCACAAAAAGAATCAGAGGCGAAGAGTTCTGCCTCTGATTCCTTTTGTGCCGAGCCGCGCGTGTCTGAAGTTGCTGGCTTGTTGGAGGACTCGTCTGGAATCTGTTCGAGCGCCGACACTCGCTGGCGGTTCTTAGCTTTCGACTGCCACTGCGGCTCGCAGAACCATGGCGAACTCACCGGCGAGTCTTGTCCACATTGCTGCCATGCTCGCAAGGTGGAGTGCTATAATGTGCTATATAAGTCTGTCGCGACCCCAACCAACGCATGAGCTCCGAAGCCCGGAATCCTCCTTCTTGGCACCTATATAGACAAACAGTGGAAAGCCCTCAAAAGAACTCATGAAGTTCCAGTCACTCTGCGCCAAAGGCTCACGGAAAAGGTCGATGCACTGTCTATGTCTATGTCTATGTCTATGGAGGTAGGAACACGGCTTCTACATGCCCATCCGAAACCCGTCTTGCAAAGGTTTCCTTTGAACCTCCGTGCCTCTCCCAAGTCGAACGACGACACTTCCAGTCTGAGGCTACAGCAAAGTACAGTTGATCGATGCCAGCGGGGAGCTCTGGCTGATGCTTGCCTGGCAGATTCTACTTTCGGGCTTGGGGTACCTGCTTCCCTGCCCGGCACATGCGCTCGGGTCGTGACCACATGCCGCCAGCAGCCCAAAAAGTGTGCTCTTGCCGCACCCATTGCATCCTTCACAAGCTTTAGCCGTGAGACAGACACATTGTTGCACGCAGCACATTCCTGCTAACCCTCCCGTTGCACACACGCGCACGCCTCGCAAATTCTTTTTTTATCCCAGTCAGATGGGGTCGTGAAAGCTCGTTTCCGGCACTTCTTCCACCTGCTCCGAGTCGATTCGTGGCAGCAGAAGATGCGCTTGCGTCCCGTACCCTGGGTATGAAGTCAGCGACAGGTTTCCTCCAAGGTATCTCGCATAGAGTCGGGCACAGGGAAGCCCAACCCCATATCCGGAGAGTGAGTCCTCGACGTCGTCGATATTTAGGCTACTGCTGCCCTGTTTAGCAGCAGTACCGTACATGTACGACCAAATTCGGTCACCCACCTGGCAGGGCAAGTCGTACAAACAGGAAAAGACAACGCAGGCCCCACACAGCCTAGATATCTCTATCACTATGCCTTCATGGCCCCACCGCCACAGCTCAAACCTTGCAGCACACAGCCATGAAGCAAATCCGCACGCACCTCAAAGGGAATTCCACCTGCTTCATCGCTCACCAGGATTGCAACCCGATGCTCGTCACGACAAACCCGAATACGAACTGGGCGCTTGCTGATGTCGTCAACACTCGAAGATGTCATGAGCGTTGCTCGGAAGCTGTTCTTCAGAAGCTCGCACATGATGTATCTCAGATAGCTGGGAATGTAGCTGAAGAGGCAGGGCTTCGCTTGTGGCCCCATCTCTCCGGCCTGCTTCGCTTCGCAGAATGCGAGAGTGCAAAGAGTCTTTAAGAGCATAGTTCGTTCTAGTAGTACGACAAGAGCCGGGCCGAGGCATTTGGATGCTCCAAAACTCCCGGGGCCTTGAAGTCCTCCACGGTGTACTTCGGCTCGTGGCCAAAGCGCTGGTAGCAGAGGTAGGCTGACATCTGCGCCGCATGCTCGCAAACCTTCGAGGCATTGCAGCCTCCCAGCAAAAGGGCGCGTGGCACGTCTAGAATCTAGAACAACTCTAGAACAACCTGCGCCCGGCTCATCTCCCAGAACGGCAGCTGAGGACCCTACGAGGGTCTGTGATGCCGGTCGGACGGCCCAAGCCGCCGTCCTGCTTGCTGGCGATAGCCACGAACTGGTCGAAAAGGGCATTCGTGCCAATCCTCGGAGCGTGTGTGTTCTTCCTCGTCTACGCAATGCCCCTAGGCTTTGTTACAGCAATGCCGTAGGGAGCCCAAAAACATTGGGAAGACTTGCCTCTTGAATCGAAGCTCCTGGAAAGCAGGAACCCGTCCAACCATCGATCCAAGAACTTAGTGTCTTGCTGCTTCATCTTGTGCAGCTTGTAGATGCCAGATGCTGAGACACCAATGACGTCACGGCCTTCGTCCCGTATGGCTTTCAATGTCTTGATGAGGTGTTTGGAATCTTGCGTGCTGTAATTCAGCAACACCAATTCCCGGTACCACCTCGTTAATCTTTGATGGAGCTTCGCTAGCTCAGGGATCTCCTGCAGCTCTGACAGCGCAGCTTCTTCGTGTATGTGGCACGACCGATCCCAGCATGGCAAACCCTCAAAGAATCCTTATTACCATGCCAGCGTAGGTGTCCAAGCCACGACGACCAGGACAACCACGACCGCCAGGACCACCCCGGCGACCCCCACCACAAAAATAACCGCGACCTCCCCGAGCACTAGGAGACCAGCAGGAGACGACTAAGTCACTAAAAGACCCCGAGGACCACCCAGAGACCACCATGAAACGACCGGGGCACCACCCAGAGAAGCCGCATCACCACAAGACCGACAGAAGACCACCAGGAGACCCCCAGAACACTGCGGCCACTGCTTCACCCCAGCATGTCCAAAAATGCTTCCACCAAGCATTGGCACATTCAGGAGCGCGTCCAAAATGCTTCCCGCCATCTGCTGGCGGACTCAGGAGCACGGCCAAAATGCTTCCCAAAAATACTGCCGTTTCAGAGATTCGATGCCGAAAAGAAAAAATGCACTGGAATTTACAACGAATCTGGCTTTCCGCGGGCGCGAGGGGAGCCGCATCCCGGGGAACCTTCCACATGGTACCCTGCACGGCCGCCTTAACCAGTTCCCTTTGCCGTGAACGCTGGAATGCTGTTGTGCAAGACACTGTTTAGTGAAGCCATCTAAACCCAAAGCCATTCTCGTCTGCGAGCGCTCCTGCCAGCCTTCCAAGGTCTCGATCAGCCGAATCCGGAGTGCGAACCGTTTTGGAATCTCCGTCTGGATGAACGGCACCATGTCCCGGGTATCACACCAGGTCACGATCTGGCACATCAACCAGCGAAGCTTTCAGAGGTCCCCACACAACCCCTATTTCCCCTCCTGATTCATCCCCCCCAGTGCCCGCTCATCCCTTCCTGAAAACCTCGCAGCATGTGGACATTGACTGGCTGAGCAGCTCGCTTGGCCCCCCGCCTCCAACCCACCGCCCCCTTTCCCCGGCCCCCTGCCCGAGCCGCCCTCCTTGCCTCCTTCGCTTGCTTCCTTGTCTGTTTTGTTGAGACTACTCTTCGCCTGCGCACGACGCGAAGCGTTGACAACAACTCACCAATCTGCTCAGCCTACTAGCCACGATCTGCAGATTGCCGATTGCTTTCTTTTGCACCGGCTGTGCGCCTGCTGCATGCTGACGGGCTGAACAGGGACAGTGGCGAGGAAAGACACTTCTGCGGCCACAAGCTCATGGAATCGCTCTTCTGGCACTGCTACCAATTGCCTGCAGAAACGTGTTTTAAGCATAAGCAGCGAAGGCATTCCCAATCTCTGAACACACCGTTGCTCTCGTTGCAAGCCTGGCATCTTCGCCGACATTTGAGGACGTCCTCCGCAAGATCGTCCGCAAGACTGGAGCCCAGGCAGGACCTGGGCTTTCTTCACTTCTGTCCCGGCTTCCACGCCCACTCTCGTTCGCTCCTCTCTTCCTCCGCGGCCGAGAGGACACGTGCACAGTTTACGGTGCTGCATGCAGGCCCAGAAGGGCCCCATGGCCCTGTGCCGCCTTTCTTCCGTTGTCCTACGTCACCTCCGAACAGCATGGCGCTCCCAGCCCCGGAACTGTCACGGTGTCCGTGTACAACAGCGAGGCTTCTTCTCTTTGCTTTGCTCTGCTAGGCACATAGGCCCCGTGCTCGCTCTCTTTCTTCTTCAGCAGAGCCGAGGGCGATCACTCGTTGCCTCTCCCTCGCTCCGTCCCCCTTCCCTCTCCCCGTCTGTACTACGCGCCTGTGCGGCATAGTCTGTACATCCGCGGCACCATGTCGCATCTGGGGAGATCCAGTCCAGCAAACCACTGGAGAGAATCTGTCCATGTCAAGCCAGTGGGCTCGGGGCACGCGCCATCACTTCGCAATCTTTGGCGAGTGTGCGCTGGGTAATTCTTCAATAGGGAGCCGACATGCGTTGCCACAGGTGAGTCTGATCTGACGAGAGTTTGATCCGCAGTTATGGACACACTCCCCAAACTAATACTACGGTCAGAAACCGGATTCTGACTTGCTCTGACTGTCGACCCTTGCTACGTCCAGGCCTGTAACGGCATAGGCCTTTCCAGCCTGAGCGAACGAACAGAAACGATTGAATTGCGGCCAGCTCACGACATGAATTGATGGGCCAGCCTCCAGCGAAACACTTCCGAGCCTCACCTCACGGTTCTGGAAACTGGCCCCGGGTGAACTGAGGCACAGCACCAAAGCACGGCCTGAAGCTGAGAACCACGGCTGTAGCTAAGGTTCCTTACCTGCGGCCGGCAGAGACCACACTGTGTTTCTTTCCCTTGGCAGTCGATTCTCAAAGCGGCCTGCATCGCCGAGGCCCCGGAGTCCACCTCGGCTAAGGCTAAAACGGCTAAGTTGTGCCCCTGTTTCCGCTTGCGGTGCCACTGACGACTTCGGCTTACCGCAACTCGGCAGAGCCACCTTGCATCGCAGTCTCGTGCGATTCTTCAGCCTCTTGGAAAGGGCCTGGCAGTCACAGGCCATCGCCCTCTAGATGTGCTGCGCGGCCCCTCACCTGCCTCGCCTGCAACCTTTCTACATTGGTCTTCACAGTGGCCAATGCTGCCTCGCAGGAGATGGCGAAGCAAAGATGCATCCACTCAGATCAGAGAGTGGTTGTGTCTTCTTGGTGGCGCGGGGTGGGTGCCTCTCTGCGGAAGCGGACCAACAAAGTGTTCTGCGCATCCTGTCGGTGCAAGCTGCTTTTCACACTTCATAGTGGCACGGGGTGGCGGCGTCGAGACTCTCGAATGAGAATCCTCCACAACCCGGGTGTATACCCAAATGTCCACTGCTGTGATTTGCTGGAACCTCATTGGCTCGAGATCTGCAGGAGTACGTCGACGGCAGTCTGAGTCTGGAGCTGCAAGAGATATGCAATTGCAATCTCGATGCCAGGAGCCACGAAATCCTCTGTGAGCTTCTCACTGAAAGACTGAATGTGAGCGCATCGGTGCAACAAGCCACGCCATCCTGAATGTAGAGGGTGTCAACGAAGCCCCGAAAAAGTCGCAGGGCCTGAAAGCGGACCACAGCATGAAGTCACACAGGGCTGCCTGAATCTACCTTCGCGCATATAGCAGCAAGCTACTCTCCACGGGATTGCTTGGCACATGGCCTGCAGCCTCAAGAACTTGTCCTGGAGATGCCTCGCCCTCAAGCGCCATTGTACCTTTTGTTGCTTCACTGTTAAGCTGGGAACGAGGGCCGAAGCACATGGACGGCCTCAGCAAACGAGGAAGCTCCGACCTCAGGCATCGGCCACAAGAAACCGCAAAGCTGACAGGTTCGGGTGCCCAGCCCGCTGGAGGATCTCTGCACTTTCCGTGTCGTGTTGCCTTATGCACTACAGAGGACAGAACGACAGCCTAATGAAGAGGAAATCTTCGGGCTTGTGGTCTGCTGGATGACAACGCACCAACCGATGCTGAGAACAAGGGAATCCTCGAGCTCTTCACCAATGCGATTGAACAGTAAAACTTCGCAAGCTGGAACTCGCGACAATGGCTTTCCACAAGCACAGCGCATCGCAGTACGATGCATCAAGGCGCCAGGCTCCCTTTGAGAGGCCTTCAACTCATTAATTCAATTTGAAGGTGGGATTTGCACATACCAAAGCCCATTGCAACGCCAGCATACCCCAATGCAAGAACTTGTCCTTGCAGACTCAACAGTCACTCAGCCACCTCCAGCTCCACACGGGGTGGGTAGATCGGGTAGATCTGTGCATGTCATTGCAAGATCGCATGCTATGCCGGGGTGTCTTTGCCCCAGGCGCCAGCCAGGTTCCCTTGGAGAGGCCTTCAACTCTTTAATTCAACTTGAAGGTGGGATTTGCACATGCAAAATCCCATTGCCTTGCCAGAATACCCCAATACAAGAACTGCTCCTGACAGACTCACCAATGACTCAGCCACCTCCAGTTCCGTACGGAGTGGGTAGATCTGCTACGCCGGGGTGTCTTTGCCCCAGGTGCTGGAGAACTTTTTCAACGTCGGCCTCGCAGGCCTTGTGACGCCGATGTTCATGCAGAACATTTGATCGCTGAAGTTCTGCAAACTGCTCCAGCTCGAATGTCACGCTTTGCAACTTCCGGCGAAGTTCGTCTGCAGCTTCTTGTTCTTCCGAGAGCATAAACCGAGCCACCTCCAGCTCCGTACGGAGTTTCTGTACTGGGCTCGGCTCCTCCCGAACACTGAGCTGCATTGCGGCATGCTCCATGAGTGCTCCCAACAGCTCCGTCTCGCACTGTCGTGCGGTGCATGCCTGCAGGTTCATCTTTTCCGCCCTTTCAGCCTCTCACTGTTCTCTTGCACCTGGCGATGCAGCTCCTTTGTCTTCTGCTGCAGCGCAGCATGGGCCTTTTCCACGTGCTCAACTCCTCCAGCTCAGCTCTTTGCGAGTCTAGCTGTTCTTTCATATTTTCCTCGTGCTTTGCGCTCCCGCTTCTCTTCCTTCAGTTGGGCCTTAAACTCCTCACACACTCTTTGCGAGTGGTTCAACATATGTCTTGTTTCGTCCAAAGAACTTTGCAGCGAACTGATTTGCTCTTCCAACACGCTCTGCTTTCTTGCCATGTAGAGCCGGTTGGCAAGGAGAGCTCCGAAGAGTTTTGCCTCTGATTCTTTTTGTGCCGCACCACGCGTGTCTGGCTTTGCTGGCTTGTTGGAGGACTCGTCTGGAATCTGTTCGAGCGCCGACACTCGCTGGCGGTTCCTAGCTTTCGACTGCCACTGCGGCTCGCAGAACCATTGCGACGCACCGGCGAGTCTTGTCCACATTGCTGCCATGCTCGCAAGGTGGAGCGCTATATAAGTCTGTCACGACCCCAACCAACGCATGAGCTCCGAAGCCCGGAATCCTCCTTCTTGGCACCTGTATAGACAAACAGTGGAAAGCCCTCAAAAGAACTCATGAAGTTCCAGTCACTCTGCGCCAAAGGCTCACGGAAAAGGTCGATGCACTGTCTATGTTTATGTCTATGTCTATGGAGGTAGGATCACGGCTTCTTCATGCCTATCCGAAACCCGTCTTGCGCCCTGCAGGAAAAATTTCCTTTGAGGGCTCTGGAGGACAAGACCGAGGGGTCGTCAACGTTGAGGCTGGATTCAACGCTTGGGGTTCAGAGTACGGTTCTCACGCTGCTCTTTCCGATAATCGAGTACATTAAGTACACCTTGCTTGGGACGACTTTCCACAATCCTCGCAATCCATCCCAACTGCCTTCGTTATCCCCACTATGACGGCTTTGTACTGGATTATTATCATCATCGCCATCACTATTCCATTGTTATCACTGACTCTGATTGTCATCGCCGAAACCTAATCGTGAACTCGTCGGAAGCGACCGACCCCAAGAGACCACTCTATGACAGTGAACCGAAAAGCCTGGCACCAAACACCTGAAACTGTCAGTTTTCTCTACAGAACACTCTCCAGCACACGGGTCCACACGGCGCCCGGCTCCATGTTGCTGCGTCTGGACGCAAGCTCTTGGATCTCGCGGTTCAGTTTCTCCATTCGACCTCGCAGCAACCCGGAAGTTCAAGATTCTGACACTGCTCTGTGAGCATGCCGCAGCCTGTGGTCCTGGCTTGTGAGGTGTGCGAATGCCTTTGCTCGGACAAAGTCCAGGCCTGCACAGCACTTTGAGACTCTGCGCCGTGGACAGCGCTCATTTGCTGAAAAGCTCCGGAACCCTGCTTAGGGAGCTGCCCATGTTCCCAGGCAGAACCAGCAAGAGGAGCCACGGCTGACCTTGAAGCTCATGATAGGCGTGCAGGTATCTCTATGAAGTCTTGAGGTGTACATGCACATGCGCGGTGCATATACATATACGTATACATACATATATATATATACTTTTATTTATATTTATTTACATACATATGTACAACCCAATTTCCATGCAACAACCAACATGCATTCATACATACATGTGCAAATCTAAGTATCTATATACATATATATATATATGTACATGTACATGTACATGTACATGTACATGTACATGTACATGTACATGCATGTGTGCACACACATACCTGTAATTTCATATACATGTGCATATGCATATACACATACAGAGAGAGACGGAGAGCAGGTAATCAAGCAAATACTGTATCACGCGTCAATACACCAATCTTTTTCCCTACCAAAGGGCTATCTGGACAGTGACAACGTCGGGAAATGACACTTTCTGCCAGGTCTTTTGCTGTCCTGATTGAGAACATCATAATACATGTTTTTATAAACTTTCAATGTCAGATATCCGCATGAAAATGGCACAC